TAAACCTTAAAGGTGCATTTTCACGTGTCGCTCGAACCGGCCGTTTCAGCGACAAAAAGGGTCACGTGATTACTTTTGTCGCAGAATATTCGCAGAAAAGTAATCACGTGACCCTTTTTGTCGCTGAAACGGCCGGTTCGAGCGCACTGAAATATATACTAACTGGAACGCGCGCTAGAGCCGAGCCGTGTGTACCGAGAGAGAGCATCGTCGAGTGGCGTTTGTCATTGTCTGGCTTATAGGGTGGTCGAGAGTGGGGACGGAAAGGTACAGTCCGATCTTAGAACATATAGGGTGCGGTCAAACAGACTCTACAGAACGCTTCAATCGCTCTTATTCTAATGCTTTCAAAGGGCCGGTCAATGTTCACTATCGAAGTTGCAAAGCTAATTATAGTACACGGTCAAAGTGGCGCTACCAACGCTTCGAAGGTTGGATAAACATATGTTTGTACATACGTGTGTAAAAATGAATAGAAAAGAGAAGATAATTACATTAATGTGTGTTAATAATTTTTTGGAGCCATTGTCATATTTAGATGACGAAGATGAGTTTGTAATTAAAGCTATTTCTACAGACGAAAGTGAACCTTATAATAACAAAATTGAAGGTTATGTCGAACACATATATAATACCATTGTTTACCAGTGAATTGAGATATTTTACCAAATAAAGTTAGATTAGGCAATTTCATAACCAATTTTCGATAATTTGCACTACACATTCGCTACACACATTGCTTCACACCAATTCACATGTAACCTAAGATGTGCAATTTGCCGCGCTTTTCGAGAATTCAAAAAAACGCTTCAGCCGTACTACCTCTCCGGCTGTAGCATTGGAAGCGAAATAGAGGGGGAAATCTGTGACGTTTCAGTGACGTCATTGGTACTGCTGAAGCGTTTGCAAGTGATACATTGACCGGACTCGAAACACTTCAAAGCATTCGTAGTGGCAGCTTGACCGCACCCATAGACATGGAAGAGGAATAGGGACTTGAAATGTGTCCGGAGGAAGCGAGAAAGAAAATCGTAGTGGAGGAAGCGAGAAAGAAAATCGTAGCTCTCTCACACACACACACCGATGCTTGTGTGCGCATGCGCACTTTCGAGCAGTAACTCACGAGAGAGAGGCACTACGATTTTCTTTCTCACTTCCTCCGAACATATTTTTCTCTCGAGAACAATGGGCATTCCTCTTCCATGTCTATATGTTCTAAGAGTCCGATCGAGAAATTAGCTCGTTGTCAGAGGTTACACGATCTCGCGCAGTTGTGCTGCGCTTCGAGATAACTTTTGGTTCGAACTGTACTAGACAATGACAGACGCCACTCGACGATGCTCTCTCTCGGTACACACGGCTCGGCTCTAGCGCGCGTTCCAGTACTTCCAGTTAGTATATATTTCAGTGGACGGGACCCACACGTACACGCACCGGCGGCTATGTAGTGTGTGGAAGCAGACGAGACCGGCAACAGCGCACAAATACATGCACGATTTTAACTCTCCCCACCACGCTCCACCCTGCAATCTCTCCTCCTCCTCAACTCTAAGCCAATAGCCATCGGGTACCTTCAGATTGCAGTGCCATCTATTGGTACCTAAAGATACAACCATCGGGGATCGGTTTTGGTCGCGTGTCCCGAACATACAGTTCGGTCTCCTTATCTCTATTCTTCATGGTTTTCTCCCACTGGGAGCATAAACTATACTGAAACTCTGTAGTTTACGTTACGTAAATTATAGACTTTCAGTATAGTTTATGTTCCCGGTGGGAGAAAACGAACGCAGGCACAGCTTAGCACAGCTAATCATTATATTGTATATGTTCTGTGGTTATCGCATCAACGCATAATGGCCGCGTTCAGCAGACACAATTGTTGAGTGAGCACTCAGTATGATTGATTAATACTTTCAGATCCAACCAATCATGTTAACAAATCATTGAGCGCTCACTCAACAGTTGTGCTTGCTGAACGTGGCCAATGGCTCATTCAGACTGAACGCGATGAGCGATGAGCGACGCGCGATATCCAATGGGCGTGCAGTCTTTGTAGGAAAACTGTACGCTTTCCCATAAAACCTGTACGCTCATTGGATAATCGCTCGTCGCGCATCGCGTCCAGTCTGAATGAGCCATAAGGGTGCTTTCACATGGAGCGTAAATTGCGTAGCGTAACCTGCGTATCGCCAATCACAGGACTAGTTCAACGGAATTATTGAAACGGTTCTATCAGCAAGACCCTGTGATTGGTGATACGCAGGTTACGCTACGCAAGTTACGCTCCATGTGAATCTAGCCTAAAATTTAACACGTGCGAAACGACGGCGATGCCACCTGACGTTAAAGTTCGCAGACGAGAAATGGAGGCTGCGTGCGAGTTCGCGATGTGTGCTGCGTGACTGCGAATACACTTATATTACCGGCGATAAATCTATCGCTGCGATGACGATTAATACATTGTGCGCTGCATTTCGCAGGATCGCAGTGGGCAGGATAAGTACGTACCCTCGGCAACTCGGATTTACGTAATTAAGCGTGAGACAATTGATCATAACCTAGGCCTGTATTCACAGTCGGATCTTATATTCAAGACCGTCTTGAATCTCTTCGTCTTATTTATATGGCACTTGTCGTCTTTAGAAGAACAATACGGCCGGGGACAAATTCAAATAACAGGAAATACAGAATGGATTTAGGAGAAGGCAAGTTTCTCCCTTCCGGGTTGGTCTTGACACACTCCAAGTCGCAATCACACTTGCCCAACCGACCTACTCGAGCGACTGTTCCAGACTCCCCGTCTTGAACTTATCTAAAGTTGCTGTGCGGAACATTTCGTTGACCACGGAGTATCTAAAGATGAGCTTGAGACAGTCCTGAATACAAGATCTGACTGCCAATACTGGCCCTAGCATCGCTATCTGCCTTGTAAAGATAAGCAGAAATGTATTTATCAGTGACACAATTGTTACAATAAAAAGTAGACCGCGCTATCTATTTCAATTATTCCATATTAACGATAGGAAAAATTATCTGACGACGTAAACTGGCCAAGTAGTTCATTTAATAACTCATTCCAATGCTTCGGCCATCTGGACTGTGGTCCTTTTCGAGGAAAAATATATCTACAATTTTCGGCGAAACATTGCACCTTGAAATTCCACATTAGCGTGACATATTTCGCAAATGATTTAATTGTACCTCTTGTACATCCCAGGTACTGTTACCGCCGCGAGATACTCGACGCATCGATCAAACTGCAACGCGAATGCGACTTCCCGCTCAACGTCAGGCGATTACGGTGCGCGTTGTGGCGCCGGGTCGGCACACAGCATCAAGTTTATACCGGGAACACTTAACATAGACTTCGGGATGCCCGCGGGTGGGAGTTTAATAAGAAATATTATCGAATCCCCTGCTATTAAGATTACCCCGTTGCGAGAGCCGGCGGAGCGTTTGCCCATTCAATACGACCCTCCCGTACCGGAAAGATCTGTAGATCTACCTACAAATGGAAGGATTGTTGATAAACAGGCGGTGAACATGCTGAGGATCAGGCATAAGAAAATGAAGAAGCACAAGCGAAAGAAGCTGCGCAAGAAGATGAAATTTGTGTGGGCGAAGCTAAGGCTTAAGAGAGGCCAGAAGAGGGAGAAGGTGTTTCAAGCCGATCTGATTGCCCAAGTTAAGGAGGCGCAGGCGTTTGACGCTAAGGAGTATGTAAACGAGAAACTAAATATCTTGAACAAGGAGAGACTACCGAGGACTTACAGAGGCGAGATTCTGCCCCCTGAGATGATCAAGCAGTTTATGGACGAGAGGAGGGCAAGAAAGGAAGCTAAACGTAACAAACCTCGTTTGACTCTGTAACTTGTATACGAGTCGTAATAAAACTTTGTTGAAATTGTAATTACGTTCTTTTCGTAATTCATATTCCGAAACGAATCGAAGGCATAAAGGATACGAGAGCCAAGACAGGATGTTGATGTCTAAATGATTTTACAACAATAAAAGGATTATGTCGACGATAACTGCCAAAGTATATTTTCAATCAATACACGACGTTTCGACCAGTAATACTGGTCCTTCTCAAGTATCACTCACAAGTGTCCCTTCAAACGCTGACAACGCTTGACACTTAGACAATTAGTTCAATTTTTTAATTTCTTTAACTCTATATTCTTACTGTGCGGAGTGATCCCATTTCCTGACTATGCACTTCTACACAATCGTATTCTTTGGTACATCACCTATTTCTTGCGGTCACATGTAATAGGTGATACTTGAGAAGGACCAGTATTACTGGTCGAAACGTCGTGTATTGATTGAAAATATACTTTGCCAGTTATCGTCGACATAATCCTTCTATTGTTGTGTTTTACCCACTGGCGATCCACCTCTGACTAAATGATTTTAATTTTTAAATTTATCGCGATTTTTTTCAGCCAGGGTTTGAACCTGCACCTCCCTCTCACTAGGTGAACGTCCCACCAATTCGACCACCGAGGCATGTCGTGAGACGCCCGCCTAGTGGCCGAAGTAAATTTTTCGCACTAACTTCCTGTCTTGACTCTTACATTTATTCGATTCGTGATTACACGTCAGAGTCTTATGAATTTTGTTTTATATTACGAAATTCTTTAAACAGACTCGGAATCCGAGAGGAAGAACAATCAAGATGAACGGGATTAAATGAGCAATAGATTTATTTTCTTATAAAAAATATGTTACTTATATAGTCATTCATTCATCAAAACTCTCTTATGTACATATGTAACAATTATATTAAGGCATTTGTTTTAGGTATACAGATGAAAGTTTACCTTCATTCATTGTAGATATAGATTTTTAGATTGCACATGGTAATAACAGATGACACTTGATCTACGGCGCTTTGTAATAAATATACGGTTGGAAATTGTCTGTCCGGTTCTGTAAGATATTGGTTGGCGACGTGCAAGGCATCTTCGTGAATTTATAAAATAGTTCCTACTGGACGTTCTCTACAATGTATTTGTCTTAGGCTCACGACTCCCATTAACGCTGTCCTTACACGCAGCACACATTACAGTACAGTTTAATACTACGATTTAATAAATAGCACCATCTTTTTATTCGCGCGTACCTCATTGAATCATCAAGACACAATTGGTCTTTTATAACTGGCTTTTCCTCGTGAGTAAAATCCGGAGGATTAAAATTTTCTATACTCTTGCTATTATACTTGGTTAAAATGGTCTCTCACGCGTGATTGAGGATATGAGAAAAGTTAGTGTCTGCTAATCGCACGTAATTAATCATTTTCATGCTTTGTGAACAAATATGCTGTAAAATAATGTAGCAGCATTTTATAAATAACAATAATGTAATATTACAACACTTTCTCTCTAAGGAAACTCGTTTTGTTGACATTTTAAAATTACAACGTGTACACATCTTTTATAACTCATCCCGTCTAAAAATATTTCATCTTATTTTCTACGATATAATATATTTGTCACAAAGCAAACGTCATAGTTTTAGAGTACGTGCCCATTTCATTATAAAAGAACGTTCTTAGCCGCTACAAGCAAATGCTCTCCCATCTCTCTTTCTCCCAGCTAAAGTAGATTCTTTTAAAAGTAAGCGACATTGCAAAAGTTATACGATTAAGAATGGTCCTCTATTTCACGGTAACATCTGACCCTTTTTAATTTCTAAAACCTTTGGCTTGTTATTCAATCTGCCGGTGGTCAGAGCGTTGCTCCTACCAGAGAAGTAATCCTCGATCTCTTGTAACGTTCTACCTTTGGTCTCCGGCAGGCATATGTAGAAGTATATCGTGCCGAACAAGGATATACAACCGTAGAGGATGAACGTGCCGTGTCGGGTGAGCACGCTGGCCAGAAAGGGATAGGTTTTAACGACCATGAAGACAAACGTGTGCGCGCACATGGTGGTGAGACCGCCGACGATGCCGCGCACTTGCACGGGATAGACCTCGCCTATCATCACCCACGGGATTACCAGAAAGCCGAGGGTGCAGGTGATGGTGTACGAGAATATACACATGACCGGGATCCACGTGGCGACGAGCGGTAGGTCGTTCATGACCCAGTAATTCTTGAGCCACATGTACCCGCCTAATCCTAACATGGAAAGCCCGCATCCGACGGAGGACACCATCGTGAGCGGCCTCCTGCCGCATCGTCTGCACAGAACGCAGGCGATGATCGTGGAGGTCAGCCTGACTATTCCCAGTATGACGGCCGCTAAGTACTTGTTCATGCTCGCTCCCGAGTCCTTGAAGATCTCGACGGCGTAGAAAGTGATGACGTTGGTGCCTGACCACTGGTATATCAGGAAGTACAGAAACAGCAAGGTGAACGGCTTGAGCGCGTTCGGCTTGAGCAGAGCGCGGATGATCTCCCGGAAGCCGGTGAGCCGCTTGATGTTGTTCTTGTTGGAGAACTCCACCAGCGTTTCCATCTCCCGATTCACGTTGTAAGTACTGCCGCGGAACTTGTGCAGCGCCTGCTTCGCCAGGTCCGGCTTGCTGCGCGATATGAGGTAGGACGGGGTCTCCGGGAAGAAGAACATGAGCAGCAGCGCGGTGAGCGGCAGGATGCCGCTGATGGCGGCGCAGATGTTCCACGTGAGCATGCTTCCCAGGGCATATTCTATCAGCACCCCGGTGCTGACGCCGACGCTCGCCAGCGCGGTCAGCATCCCCCGCAGGTGCGGCTGCGTCACCTCGCTCGTGTAGACGCGGGCTGGCGCGCCCACCATGCCCGATCCTAGACCGACGAAGAAACGGCCAGCGTATATCATGCGTATGTCGGTCGCGAATGTGATTAGCAGCCACCCGAGTAGCGCCGGGACCTCTGTGATGATGAGCGAGCGCTTCCTGCCGATCATGTCCATCATGTAGCCGGACACCAAACAGCCGATCGGCGTGCCGATGGAAGACATGCTAGCTGCGAGGGGGGAAAAAAGGATACGATTTTTAAGATAAGATAGAAATGGGAAAAGTCAGTTGAAATAATGAAATCTAAACAGTTAAAACAGTAAGATCGAAAAGGAAGGAAACATATCTGGGAGGAGCTGAATTTTAGATTCTTCTCGATTACCT